GAGACAGGTCCTACTCCAAACAGCAACCTACTCCAGTTCATGCGAGGTACCCGCGATCATAACTGGCTCTTGTACCTCGCCTCATTGGAAAAGATGTGCATCTACTTTTTCGCATATAACAGGCATGACTATGCACAGAACATCCCAGACTACATCGCACACATGTATCACCTGGAAAGCAGCCATCCCTCGATATGGCAAGACCTCAAGAGTGGTGACTTTGTCGTTCACATTCATTGGGCCTAATCACGCACAGGAACATGTGAACAAGATCCACAAAGGTGAAGGTGCCATTTCTGGCTTAACAACCGATTCCCAGGGTCTGCTCAAATATTGCCTCAGCTCTCCAGAACTGGCAAGGATGGCTGGAGAAACCAAGCGTATGCTGAACATATCAGATTCTATCCCAAAGAAGCATCACCAACACTCAGCATCTAAAACTGCACGACAGGAAAAGGCTGTGAGACAACTCAAGGATGTGATAGGCAGTGCAAACCCCTTCAGTGCACCAGAACATGACGATGGATCTGAAATGAAGTTGGTCAACTTCGTCACCAAGCGGATAATGCCAACGGCAGTGCAGCGCAGCGTTTTGGACATAGAGGTACGTGGAAGCACGGCACTTGCAACATATGAACATTGATGAGAGGGTCAACGGAGACAAGAACATGTGGGACAAAATGTCGAAGCTCAAGTATCTGACTTGGAAAGATGGATGTAAAAGTATCAGTCTAAAGGTATCCTCCGCAGTAGTCAGCTTGAAAGCAACCAACTCCCTGTTCGTTCGGTTGCTCCTCGTTGCAAAGTCCTTAAGAGAACTGGACCTGCAGGAAATTGTGGGAACACATGAATTTGTCCATTACAATGCTAGTCTAATGAGGCCCGATGGTTTTCTGCTACCCACTACAAGCAAGTCAACCCTCATCCATAAACTGGAAGGAGTGGTTTCGGGGACAGAAACTTATGAAGAATCCATAGTAGAGCCGACCATCCCTAGTCAATCAGCAAATGTCTTGACCAGCTTCGTAATAGATGGCATGGCTCTCGTGCAGGAGATGGTTGTTTGGAAGAATGATATAAAGTGTTGCCGAGACCTGTCAGAATGTTTCATTCGAAGTGTTGACAACAAGTCGCGAGGCTACAGTGACATATATGTATTATTTGATAACTACACTATTACAAACTCCATGAAAGACAGAACAAGACAGCTCCGAACAGCAGGAAGAGCACAAGCCAAGGGATACAAAATAGAAGATTCCACACCTATCAAAGACTTTAAGGCATTCCTGGGAACCAAGGAAACCAAAGATAACCTCGTGCTATACCTTGCACAAAAAGCTGTCCAGCTGTGCAAACTGCCGATCACTGCCCACACACACACAAAGGTGTTATGTCTTCCCAGCCAAACATGGTGAACATCACAAGTACACAGGAAGAAGCCGACACGTTACTGGTCATGTATGCAGTAGCAGTGAGTAGTTTGGGTAAGACACCACATATATACGCCTCTGACACAAATGTGTTGGTGCTCGCTCTACGCAGGGTGCCAGACCTCAGCACAGAGAGCATCATCATCATGGGCGCTGGAGATCGACG